GAAGGGAAGGGAAGTAGAAAGGAAAGGGGAGGGAAGGGAAGGGAAGTAGAAAGGAAAGGGAAGAGAAGGGAAGTAGAAAGGAAAGGGAAGGGAAGTAGAAAGGAAAGGGAAGGGAAGTAGAAAGAGAAGGGAAGTGGAAAGGAAAGGAAAGGGAAGGGAAGAGGGAAGGGAAGGGAAGGGAAGAGGGAAGGGAAGAGAAGGGAAGTGGGAAGGGAAGGGAAGTGGGAAGGGAAATGGAAGGGAAGGGAAGGAAAAGGGAAGGGGAAGGAAAGAAGGAAGGGAAGTGAAGAGGGAAGGGAAGAAGGGAAGGAAAAAGAAAGGAAGAGGAAGGGAAAGGGAAGGGGAAAAAGAAGGGAAGGGGAAGCAAAGGGGAAGGGAAGGGAAAGGAAAGGAAAAAGAAGGAAAGGAAAGGAGGAAAGATCTTCCTCACCAGAACATGGATGCCTGCCAGTTTAGTCAGTGGTTAGAAAAAAATGTTCCAGTACAAAGATGAACTATATTCACACTTGTCTCATGATGTTTTCCCTATCCGTCTCATATCTGGACATAGAAACTCTAGCTGTCTCTCAAAATAGTGATTCCCAGATTTTATGGACAATAAGACATTTAATAAATACGTACATATTTATATACACAAGTGTGCATAACTATATAGAAGTTTGAAAATTATTTTGCAAACTTAAAAAAAGTAAAAATAACATTCACAACCATTTAATTCTTTTTTTTTAAAGCAGGCTTTTGGGGGGTGATGACAGTATTCTAAACTAGAGAGTGGTCATGGCTGTACAACCTTGTAAATATTGTAAAAATCCCTGCACTGTATACTTTAAAATTTGATGTTAAGTACATTTCATGGTAAGTGAATTAGAGGGCAAGTATTTGGTTTATTTATTTATTTATTCATTTTTCAGACAGAGTCTCACTCCATTACCCAGGCTAGAGTGCTGGGGCATCAGCCTAACTTACAGTAACCTCAGATTCCTGGGTTCAAGTAATCCTCCTGCTTTAGCCTCCCGAATAGCTGAGGCTATAGGAGCTCACTGCAATGCCCAGCTAATTTCTTTTCTTTTCGTTTTTTTTTTTAAGTGGGGATAGGATCTCACTCTTTGCTCAGGCTAGTCTCAAACTCCGGAGCTCAAGCAATCCTCCTGCCTCAGTCTCCCAGAATGCTAGAATTTCAGGTGTGAGGCACCATGCCCAGCCTCAATTTTTTA